GTGTCAGTGACCCGAAAGCAATGAATGTGCTTTAAAAATATGAGCCAAAGATCTACCATATTGGCTACTGCACCTTTTCAACTTAGTGGCTCTTCTGTCCTCCGCTGGGCAATTAGGAATCAGCTGTCAGTTGTTTTATTTTATATTAGCTGTAGTCTTCGTCTTCTTCTAGTAATAATTAGCAAGACAGCACATCCACAACTTTGTATGCGGCAGAAGCATGGGGATAGAGTCCAGTTAAATGTTGCTGGAATTACCTTGCATCCAGCAAACCCCATAGAATTATTTTTAGTTGCATTGTCAAGACAGAGAGACCAGTTACCATCTATGGTAATCTATGTTTATAGCTTGCTATGTCATTCAAATAGGATGGATGCAGTGTTATGAATAAATCTTTACGCAGGAGCCCCAAGGACAAATTTAATGCATTTTGGTTCTATTCTCCTCCCGTCCCATCCAATGCTGAAGAACTTTCAAGACTTACTCATTCTCTGGAGAAGGTCCCACTCCTCTTGCAGAAATGCTCCATAGTGACCTAAAAGAAAATTCAAAGAATTATAGCCTAACAGGAACTGGCCCAATGTTAGATTCACAAAATAGCCACAGCAGTAGACAGTTTTTTTCCTCTCTTCAAGCTCAAGAATAAAGATGGAGAATATATTGGATAAATAAAAAGATTAATTCTAGGGGGAAAAGAAATGACAAATTAGACTAGAAAAATGACTGTGCATGGCAAGCATAGAAGAAGTAGAAGATAATCTACAAGATGGCTTTTCCTAGAGAGTTCACAATTACAAGCATTTGGTTATGTAGTCAGAAGGAGTTAGGCTGGACTTGATGGCACTTTACTAATGCATTCCTTTCAAGGGAGGCTAGTCCTGTATCGATGAATGCAGTTTTGTGGCCTAAATTACTTTAGATTCCAATTTAGGCATACCTCTTTTTGCAATCATCTGAGGACACCCCAGATTCAGGTCAACTGCATCACAGTAGTCTTGAGCTAACAAGGCAGCCTCGACAAAAACTTCTGGATCATTGGCACAGAACTGTAAAAGAGATATATAAACCAAACAGTAAGCTAGCATTTATTTTAACATCAAAATAACTGAAGCATTTAAGATATTTAGAAAAGAATCGGTCACTATGCTATGAAATGCCTTCTATATTGTCTTATTAAGTATGACAAAATATTTTATATACTTGTCCTCCCCAATCTAAGTAATATTATTGTTGTTGTTGTGACTACTTGACAAGATTTGTTAAAACTTTTTGTTTCATCATGACAGCATTCCTTTTTCCCACAACTATCACCATGTTGAATAAGTTGACTGGGAGAGTGTGACTGGTCAAAAATCATTTAATGAGCATGAGTGACTGAGGATGGGCTTGAATCCTTTGTCTTAGTCCAACATATTAATACTTGTATCACACATGGTGAGATTACAATTCTTATCACTATAATAAATGTATGTGGATTATGGAAATTAGTCCTTGAGTGGGTGTATTCATTATTTTATTACTTCTTCTGAAATATTTATTGTCACACAATGCAGAAAAATGTACTGCACAACAAAGATATGAAAGCCCATTGAAATCATCTGGTCAGTATTACCTGTACAATCAAAGGTCTGTCTTCAGGGCACACTTCACAATACAAGTTTTCCTTACGATAATTGGCATCTCTGACAAAGACCTGAGCATGCAGCATAGGTGTATAACATAGGTGGGCCCCATGACGGCGGCTTAACAGTCTCCAAGCCAATTCGCTTTGATCCACCATGGGAGCAACCACAAAACGGGCCTCTTTCAGTGTGTTTTTCCAAAATTCAAAGCCCTTGGATTTGGGCATCATACTTTCACTGAAAGAAATATAAACAGTAAATATTAATATCCTCTTATTCATCTTATAAAGTAATTATAATATACATTAACTGTATTCAACAACTGATATTAGTTTTTTCACATGGTACCCATTTACTATTGCAATCTATTATTTGTGGTGTTCTTAACACCTACATTCAGTACACAAATGATCAATACTGAGCATTCAAAAGAAAAAAGATCAAGAGTTCTGTTGTGCACTTAAAAGTGTATTTGTTGTTTTTGCTCAGCCACTAAAATCGTGTCCGACTCTCTTATGGACCACAGCATGCCAGACTCTTCTCACCATCCTCCACTGCCTCCCTGAGTCTGCCCAAGTGCATATCTACTACCTCAATAACACTATCTTATCTTCTGCCATCCCCTTCTCCATTTGCCTTCAATCTATCCCAACATTAGGATCTTTTGCAGTGAGTCCTCTCTTCTCATTTGGTGGCCAAAGTATTTGAGCGTTAGCTTCAGTATCTGTCTTTCCAAAGGAGACTCACGGTTGATTTCCTTAATATATATTTAAGATTATATAAAAACTAGAATGGAATGGAATAAGAATAGAATCAGAATAGAATAACAGAGATGGAAGGGATCTTGGAGGTCTTCTAGTCCAACTCCCTGCTCAGGCACGAAACCCTATATCATTTCAGATAAATGGTTGTCCGATCCCTTCAAAACTTCCAGTGTTGGGAGCATTCAGAATTTCTGAAGATAAGTTGTTCCACTAATTAATTGTTCTGTTAGTTTCCATCCATTGCTTCTTGTGCTGTCCTCAGGTGCTTTGGAGCATACATTTAACTCCATCTTCTTTGTGGCAGCCCCTGAGATATTGGAACACTACTATCATGCCACCCCTAGTCCTTCTTTTCATTAAACTAGACATATGCAGTTCTTGCAATTGTTCTTTATATGTTTTAGCCTCTAGTCCCCTAATCATCTTTGTAGCTCTTCTCTGAACTCTAGAGTCTCAACATCTTTTTTACATTGTGGCAACCAAAAATGGATGCAGTATGTCAAGTGTGGCCTGAACAAGGCATTATAAAGTTGTATTAACACATCACGTGATCTTGATTCTATCCCTCTGTTAATACAGCCTAGAACTGTGTTGGCTTTTTTAGTAGTGGCAGCACACTGCTGACCCATATTTAAGTGATTGTCCACTACATAGTAGCTATATTATTTAAATTCTATATTTGACATTTGTTAACAAAATTGCTGAACAGCAAGGACTCTATAGTTTAGGATACATTTCCTACAATTTTTATATTCTATGATTACTATTTTATGATTTTGTAGATCCCGCTTTATAATGCTACATTATAATTTTCATTACAATTTTCATTACTTGGTAATCTAATTTGCCCTACCAGAGCGTATTAATTTTATCTTGGGAATTAAGATCAAATTAAAACAATGCTAACTAGAAAAAACAGCCCTATGAAACACTTCCATCTTCTTGTCTGCAAGGAAATCAGATCTGCCGGATCAAAGCTTAAATCTAAGTGTGGGGAGTTATTTCCTCTTCAGCTATGTTTCTTGTGTGTGAAATTCACGTATTTTGCAATTAGTTTCTCTCTTTCCCCTCCCACGCCCCCATCTCTATTTAGGGAAATAGAGAAAGCCCTGTTAGCTGATAACCACAAAGCTGGCATAAATCATTTTTACAAGGCGAGGGAGCCCATCTCAATATGACCGGATTACCTTTTGATGATGGCCAAGCATTAGTCTACACTAGGTCTAGCGGGGAAAGCCAGCTAGCTTACATAGGGAGACCGCCTATATAATTATTTAAGAGAGGAAAGAGCGAGGGGCTCTGTGTAGGTGCCTTCTGGTCTCTCCATACGGCAAGGGAAGCCCATGCCGGCTTCCATCTAGATTCACCTTTCCCAAAAGCAGCTACTTTACAAAGCGGGACCCCGCTGACGGTCCTGCCGCTTGGCCAAAGCAGCCCAAGCCCCGAGCTCATCTCCCAGCCTTGCTCCTTCAAAGAGGGCAGCCCTCTATAATAAAAACCAGGCCAGGAGCCCAACCAGCCTCCCCTTCTCCGGCGCCTCAGCCTCCCCCCCCCACTCCTCTCCCTTCCCCCCGCCCGAGCCCTTCTGCCGGAGCCCCGATGGCACCCGACCCTGAGGCGGCGTGGCTGAGCCCAGGCGGGGCCATTGAATCCCCCTCAGAGAACACATCCATCATTTCAGTCCGGCCCGTGTGGGAGGGTGTAACCTTGAATTGG